TCCTCTCAGAGGAGCCTGCATCTGTTGGTTCTTTCTCTGGCGCGTTTTCCCAGACTGCTGGCCTGACTCGCAAAGGGCTCCTAGCTGCGTTTCCTGAGTGCTGATGTTCACGCTTCGCCGCCCAGCTCCTCCCGCGTCCTGCCGCGCTGGCCGTCTGCGGTCCTCCTGCAGGCTCTCCTGACCTCCCGCTGCGGGAGCTCGCCTTCCTCCCATCCTTCTCAGCCCGGCCGGTGCACGTCGCGCTCCGTCCCCTGAGCATCTCTCCTTGAACACCTCAGGTGGCCGAGTCTAAGCTCTTGCTCTAGGCCCCTGTTCTGTCCACGCTGCAGTGTCCCCTGTGTGGGAACTGCCCGGGCCATGCACGTGGAGGTTTATTTCAGAACTCTGCGTGCTGCTCCTCACGTTCCCTCTAACCCAGCACACGGATCTGAGAGCTGTCTTCCTCAGCGTCTTCCCGTCCACCTCCTCCTCTCCGCTCTCCTTGCCTTGCATGGCTGCAGCCTGCTCTCTCCAGACAGGCCCGTAGCTCCAGGCCTGAAACGCAGATGTGCCTGCTCCCCCTCACCCCACTCTCCCAGCCCATTGAGGCCTCTCTGGTTCTTAGGGTCCCCAGGTGAACCTGGCCCCAAACCTTAGTTCTTAAATTGATTCACTTAATCTAGCTTCAAAAAAGGTGCTTTAGGTATTAGATATTTCTTTCTGAAAGCTATTTCAAGCACTTTTAAGATAATAAGGTAGAAAAACCAACAGAAGCAAATCAATGAGGTAAATAGCTTCGAATATCCACTGTTGCCTGCGCTGAACCATGCAGTGCTGAGGGGTCAGTGTGTGGGAGGGAACTTCCCACCAGGGACGAGAATGAAAACAAATATTAATCAGATATATCTGTAGAAACCTGCACACCAAAATGTAGTATTTATAATTTTTCAGTATATTTTGGAAGAGTAAAGGTAATACCCTTGAAGGTAGGACATGTTTACAAATACATGCACATTACATTCACAGATGAACCTTGCATTTTTAGTTAACTTCCCATGTTGTATATTTTACTGCCTTAATGATTTGAAAACATTGCAATATAACAAGGATTTAAATGTGAGTGAAGCTAGAAATTCCAAACTATCTATGAAGGCACATCAACATTTTACCTGTTTACTAACAATAAATATTTGGAGTCTGGGAGTTTACTTCCAAGTTCTTAAGTATCTCCTAGAAGGAAGGATATCTATTACTTTATACAAATGCTGTACAGTGCAGGCATTCATGAATATTTAATTATTTGCTCTTGTCTATTGTCTAACACACTAAAAGCCTAAGATGTACTACAATAAGACCCATGATGACATTTGCACTGCACTTTATATTGACATTGGGTTTAAGATTTTGTTTAGCGTATTTAGAGCCAGTGCACCAGCACACATCTGTTTAGCCTAGGCTACATTGCTGGCATTGCCAAACGCGCCTAGGACTGCAGGGAACTCTGAAGTTGTGGAGTGTCACTGTGTGTGTGTGTGTGTGTGTGTGTGTGTGTGTGTGTTTTCCTATGGTAGATATGGGTGCAGAGGAAGGAGAACACAGACGGTAAATAAAAACAAATATGCATGTCCTTTGTTTTTGTAGTGTGAATGTTGCCAGAAAGAGATAATGAAATGTCTAAAGAAAATAAATATGGAGTGAAGAAGTAGGAAATAAATTTAAATTATTGCAAAAGAAATCTTAGTAAGTAGCTAGCTCCAGACCAATACTTTTAGGAGACAAACAAATGCTCTTAGAACTAAATGGTTTCCTTCACTGCAACAGTACGTACCAGCTTGAGAGAGACTGATTGTGTTGGATTTTTCAGAATTTAAATAAGCAGGCAGCAAAAATGCTTTGAGAAGAACAGCTGAATGCTTGCACCTAGTTGCCGTGGCAAACATAGCATTTGGAATTATTTTATGTTTAAAGAGGAATCAGTTAACTTAGTAAATATTTGCTTTGCACCTACATGAGCTAGCTATCATTTGAAGCCCTGGAGAAACAGCAGGGAACCAAACCCAGACAGCCCCTAAGCTCAGAGAAGGGAGACTCCAAGGCATGCATCGTTGTGAAAGGAGAAAGCCTTCCTGGATCTGAATGTCAAGTCAGTACTGCCAGACTGGGACACGGTCACCTTTACTGTCATCAGTTTGTGTTTTAGAATAAGTAATCAGCATAATGTTAATTCTTTCTGGTTTTCAGCATCTCATTTAAATAACATTAAAAACTTTTTTTACAGTATTTTTCACTGAAATTATCTTGCCAGTAAATGGGTTAACATTTTGCCTTTATTTTTGTAAGGGAGGTGGTGTGTTTTGTTCACTGTTACAATCTAGCACAACTGTGGGGGAATTTGCACTTCAGAAAAAGGGGCCTAGAATCCTTCTTTGGTTAAAAGCAAAGGAAGGTGTTCAGGCCTGCCCTGTCCGGGAGCTGTTGCTGGACAGGCTTCTGGAGTGGACATAGGCAGGGCATGCTGAAGAAGTGGGTTCTGCACAGGGCCGCCCGGCACCCTCCTCCTGCCCTCTGCTCAGGCTGTCTGTGCACAGGAAATAAAATCATTGCATTGAAAGGACTCCGAAGCCCCACGCGCACTGCAGTGTGATTCATGGGTGTCAAGATGTAGACCCTCCCTCGGTGCATCAACAAAGAAATGCCCAAAAGAGACATGGCAGATGCTCTGTGGAACATCCAGGCATCCGAAAGAGGGAAACCGTTCTGTGTCACAACACAGGTGAACTGGGAGACGTTATGAGAAAGGCACTGCATGGCGACTCTCGCTTCACTTCTGTGACATCTAAAATCATAGGACTCAGAGAAGAGAGTAGAGACGTAGAGTAGAGTAGAGACGTAGAGTGGAGAGCAGTAGGGACCGGGGCTGAGGGCTGGGGATTGAGGGAATATGGTGAAGGCGCCTTTCAGTTAGGCAGGAGAAATGAACGCAAGCGATCTGTTGCGCATGTGCTTACACAATCCATGATAATCACAGATATATTCTTGAAAATTGCTAAGAAGTGAATTTTTAAAAGTGTTCTCCGGGGCTGGCAAGATAGCTCAGCAGACTAAGTGACTGCTTAGGCAAGTGCACGGATCGGAGTTCCATCCCCCACACCACATGCCATGCTGGCCCCACTCCTGGGCCACAGAGCCAGCCACCGAGACTGGGCATGGCTGTGCACGCCTATAACCTCAGTGCTGGGGAGACTGAGACAGGAGGACAACTACAAGTCCCAGCTGTGTAGTAAGGCCATGGACCAAGTACTTTTTTTTTTGCGGAACCGGGGATTGAACTTAGGCCCTTGCGCTTGCCAGGGAAGCACTTATTCCACGGAGCCATCTCCCCGGCCCCACCAAGTACATTTTTTAAAAAAAGTATTTGGGCTAGAGAAATAGTTCACTGGCATAAGTGCCTGCCTGGCAAATGCAAGATCCCGAGTTCCATCCCTGGTACCAAAAGTATTCTCATTGCAAAAGTAACACCTTATGGGGTAATGAATATGTTAATCAGTTTGATTTATTCATCCAAAATACATGTACATTTATAAACATTGTATGCTACACAGTAAATATATGTAATTTTAATTCAGTTAAGAATGAAATAAATTAGATCTCACTTGGGAATAGTTCAGACATGATTGGCTTGCCTTGGAGATACTGCCTGCAGCAGTGTGTGTGTGTGTGTGACGTGTGACAGAGAGAGAGAGAGAGAGGGAGGGAGAGAGGGGGAGAGAGAGAGAGAGAGAGAGAGAGAGAGAGAGAGAGAGAGAGAGAGAGAGAGAGAGAGAGAGAGAGAATCGGTAGCCCCCACACCAGCTGCTGAGAGTCTTGGACACACTGTCTTTAAAGTCCAGCCCAGAGAAAGCTGTTCTGCCCCTGAGCTAGCCTGACCTTTGGTATTGCCTTTGCTCTATCTCTGCCATGACAAGGGAAGACTGCACACATGTCCCGCTCACCACGGTGAACTACCAGGCATCTTGGAAACACGACGAATCGGGGAGTTGGGGAACAGGAGGAAGGGAAGTGGAGCAGACGCAGCCGGAGTGCTGCTGTGCAGCATCGTCACGCCCGCGCCCCTCGAAGCTTGCAGTCTGCACTGCAAGCAGCACTCATAATTTAAAGACAGGCCAGAAAGGTGCCTGGTTTTTGCCGACCGCACTGGTGCTGCACTGTTCTATCCTTGTTGCCACTTGTCTAATCTTTATTCAGTTATTTTACACCCTCTTATTGATGCCTGCCCACATTCTCCAGTCTACGGTCTTAAAGCTCACCTTCTCCCAGAGTTTATGGCTGGGGGAATCCAGGGTGCACCCACTGAATTCACAAGACAGGATGGGTCCTGGAGTCCAGGTGCACCCAGACTCATCTAGGGCCCGCCCACTGGGTAGCCTTTGCTTGTTCCTTCTGTGGTTGCTGGTTTCTGCCTGCCCCTTCACACACCTTCCAGTATGGCATCTTCCTGTCGCTTCCCAAGGGAATTCCAGGGCTGATGAAGGAGCATTAGTGCACTGAGCTACGCCACTCGGACAGGAAGCGCACTGACCACGGCCGATGTCCAGGGGTGCTGTGTCTCAGGGTGCCCCACTCCCCTGCCCTCTGCTCCTGCCGGACGGCAGGGTCGGGGCTGGCTTCTACCTGATTCCTTCCACTGAACTCTCCACGGGATCGTTCCTTCCTGTAGAAGAGCCAGCAAAACCCCTCTGTTAGTGTCGATTCTGCACCCAGACCAATTTTGTTGTGAAATAAGTAAAACAAAGAACAATGGAAAAACTTCAGATGCTCGCATGGAGCAGCATCGTTTTGCAGGTCAACATATATGTGATTGCCAAGGATCTGTTGGAGCCCTGTGATTTTTCTTGCATCCTCTTCTGTATTTCCAATAAATGGAAATTTGCTCTAAATTACAGATTTGGGTCAGCAATGAAGACAAAGTAAAATCTACCCTTCTCAGTTTCCGCTCTTATATGCTGTTCTTTTCTTTGTAGGATCATACACATTTGTACCATGGCTTCTGAGCTTTAAAAGAGGAAGAGCCTTGGAGGAGAAAGAGAATAAAATAGTGGTGAAGGAACCAGGGTACTTCTTTATCTACGGTCAGGTAGGCGCAAACCTAACTGCGCTTTCTCACCCCAGGCCTCCGCTGCTGCACACACTCCTGACTGTGCCTTTGGTTTGTTTTCCAGGTTTTGTACACTGATAACACCTTTGCCATGGGACACCTCATACAGAGGAAAAAAGTCCACGTCTTTGGGGACGAGCTGAGTCTGGTGACTCTGTTCCGCTGCATTCAGAATATGCCTGAGACACTACCGAATAATTCCTGCTATTCAGCTGGTAAATAACCCTTCTCAAATCTGCTTGCTGGGGGAGACAGGCTATGTGGAATATCAGAGGTGCAAAGGCAGTGGAAGGAAGGGCAGGGGGCTGAGAACTGACCAGAGAGCCGGCTTCATGACAGGCGTGGGTTTCGATGGTCTGGAACAAGGAGCCCTGACTGTTTTGAGACAGTTGAGATCAGTGACCATCATTTCGATGTGCACTCCGAAAGGGAGGTCCTTCCTTGAATTCCTCATTGGCAACCTCTTGCCGATGTGTTTTCTCTCCGTCCTTTCCAGGCCCTCTGTCATACCCACTCAGTCTTACCGTGTAGGGAGGTGGGACCTGAGAGGGAGGAGGTGAGGCGATTGTCCCCAGTGGCACAGCCCCTAGGGTTCAGCCACCTGCCTGGCTGCATGGTGGGCACTATGAACACTGTGCACGCTGCAGAGGAAACGGCCTGGTGGGCCTGGTACAGGGCAGTGACACGTGGCTCATGGTGTGCACATGTGTAGCTTGGGCAAGTGGCTCAGGACTGAAAGTTCAGGGGCAGCCTGCCTTTGAATCCAGCGACAGCGAAGCAGCCCAAGGATTGGGGTCTGTCGACCGCAGCCTTTGGGCCCTGCGTCTGCTAGCGTTTTCTTGGTGAGGGGCAGGGTGAAGGGAAAAATTTCAAGTTATTCAGGGCTGGTTTTAGAAAATAGAGTAACGTGAACATTCCAGGTAGACGTATTTTTCATCTCGAACATGTGTTTTGTCTCTGGGGATTTGGACAGATCTCGTTAGCAGTTTCAGTGAACAGCAGTGCGGAATGAAGGGTTGGGAAATACTTTATAAGTGTCCCACTGTTTACAGACAAGCACCCAGTCAACCAGTAGAAGCCAAGGGAAGGAGTTAGTATAAACAGAGGCGATGTCATTCTAAATAACTTCACCGGAGTATGAGGAAGTGTAGCACAATGGAACTCCCTAATTTTCATAAAGATATTTTCCCTGTGGCCAGTGCTGGTCAGCAGTTTGATATTGCAAAATATTTATAAATGGCAAAAGCATAGCAGTCCGTTCTTCGTTAGTACGCGTTAGCACTGAGGCTTCTATGACTGACTGAAAATCTGCCCCAGCCCCCGCCACGCTCCCGCGCGCTTCCTATGGGAAGATTCAGCCATTCTCAGGTGTCTTACTTTTTAAGAATAATGAAATTGGCTTCCTGGAATTTTTTCAGGACTTACAACTCAAGGCATACGTGGGCGGCTTTCTCCAAGAAGTTTCAGGCTTACCGCTTTTACTCTAGCTTATGCCAAATTCATTTAAAACCACTGAAAACTACCTGCTGGTGGTACATAAGTACAAAAAGTACTTGCACAGTAGCCTTCAAAATTTTAAAGTCAATCTAAGAAGCCCACCAGCTACAAAGGAAGCAGTTTTATATCTACAGTGAAATGTTACTCATTTTTCTATTAATAAATTTAATATGGCTATTGTGAGAATAAATTAGAGCTGATACTGTATCTGCAATATCTGCCCTGGACAATGGTTCAGGGTGGAAATTTCACATTAAAATTATTACTATTCACACCCACTTAATCTTTTTTTTTTTTTTTTTTTTTTTTTTTTTTTTTTGCGGAACCGGGGATTGAACTCACACCCACTTAATCTTAAGAGCTAATATTTCTAAATGGTCTGTGGCCTATTAAGAAATTATTTTTAATGCTCCTTTTTTCAAATATTAATTAGACTTTTCCAAAATATTAGATCCTTTTCTTTCTTTTTTTCTTTTCTTTTTCTTTTTCTCTTTTTTGAAGGAAAGAAAGGTTTATTTAGCTCAGTTACTGGAAGTCTTAGTCCATATTCAGTTGGGTCCAAGCGCATGGCAGAAAGCAACTTTTCATGGCAGCAGCAAAGAGCAGGAGCATGAGGGAGGAGGAGGAGCAGCAGCTCAAGCAGCTGGCTTCTCTTCCCACCTTACCCTGACGTGCAAATTACCTGCCTCAGGGCAAGTGCAGCATCCACACCCACAATAATCAATCACAAACTCCAGAAGCCACCCCAGAACTGCATGAGGCTTTGGGGGGACACCTAGACACAAACCATAACATTCTGCCTCTGGACCCCTAAAGACTCATGCACATCCCTTTATGCAGGTGGCTGAACCCTAGGGACTGTGCCACTGGGGACAATCACCTCACCTCCTCCCTCTCAGGTCCCACCTCCCTACACGGTAAGACTAACTGAGTGGGTATGACAGAGGGCCTGGAAAGGACGGAGAGAAAACACATCTCTAAGAGTTGCCAAAGTGCCAACAGTTTCAGTACTGCTGAAAAGTCCAAGTCCCAAGTCTCCTCCAAGATCCAAGCCAAACTCAACTGTGAGCCCCTGTATGAATGAAAACTTAAACATTTGCAACATTCAAAGGCACAAGACAAACACTGCCATTCCAAAAGGTACACACAGCAGGATACCAAGTAGTGGGACCAACACGAGTCCAAAATCCAGCAGGGCAGACATTAAGTCCTGCAGTTCATTGTGGGACATCCAGGCAAGCTGTGCCATACGGTGAGCTCCATGTGGCTCCGCCCTTAAGGTGTTTATGCTGGTAGCTCTCATGGCTTCTCTCTGAAGCAGGCTTTGCAACCTCCTTGCAGTTTCCCTTAGATGATCCACATTCCCGGCTTTTCTAAACTTCTAGGGTTTCCACTGCATAAGGTTCTCATACTGCCTGGCCTCCCAGGCCTTCTTCTAAAATCTATGTGGAAGCCTTCTTAACCTCAGAACTCCTGCATTCTGCATGCGCCTGAAACCAATGCCATGGGGATGATGCCAAGGGCTGCTGCCAGCTGGAGCAGTAGCCAGGCTTCCTTCTCTCTTGGCTGTAGGGGTCAAGGGCCTGGATAGCTGAGCACTGACCCTGATTCCTAGGAACAAATTTTCCATGCTAGTGCCATTCTGGAACATGGGGCTCTGTGGCTTTCTCCTCAAAGCAAAGTCCCTGAGCTTTGCAGCTCCAAAGGTGCAAAGGGTGGACACCTGCCACCTCCTGTGATTCCTTCAGGCCATCCCTTCCATTCTCTTGTTCCTTCTTGGCAATGGAGAGCCTCTCAGCTCTATCTTTGCAGTGCACTGTTTTATTGGAACTTCCTTTCTGGCCAAACTCATGACAGTTTAAATCCTCCTGCTGGGCTCCTTGCTCTTGATTTTCAACATAAATCTGGCTAAAAGCCCCTATAACAGCCATGCCACTGCCCCAATATATGGCTGCTTTGAAATATCTTTTGAAAGTTTAATCATTCTTCCATGCTTAAACTCACTCTCAGGCAAAGTCTCTGGACACGAGCAAATTGCAGACAACTCTGCCAAGTCAAAACACAAATGATCTGGAGTCCAATAACCACGGCTGTCCTTCTTCCCAGCAGCAACCTCCCCAGCCTCGTCTTCACAGGCAGGCTTTCTATCAGCCTTCTGGTCTTCTTGTTGTAGGCAGCTGAACTATTACAGGCAGCCAGACAGGGCCAGGCCTCACTAGATCCCTTTTAATCTCTCTCATAATGGGTAATATATTCAATGAATAAATCCTGATCTTTTTACAAAAATCTTTCCTTTTTTGAATTATGTAAGGTTGTCAGTCCTCAAATGCTTTGTCACTACTATAAAAGGTATAAGTTACTAAGCAATGTCCCCGAAGGTGGTGTGTGTGGCCCCGCCCATTGCCAAAAAACAAGACTTAGGACAGCTTTGCCATTCTTGGTCGTTGGCCATGTCTGCCTGGATGGGTGACTGGAACATAACAAATATTCAGTCAACAAACTCCAACTGTTACATTGGGCATTCAGCTGTAGCAGACATTGACACCACTTTATAAGTAAAATTTTGTGCTGTCTGCTAATGAGACAATGTGACTTCCTCTTACACTGTTAGCTGTAAGTCCCCCCAGTTCAATGCTATTCATTTTGTTCGTTTGCCTCTTTTTTCTCCTCCACCCCTTCCTCTTCCTCTTTTTCTCCTTCATATTTTCTTCTTGGAGTGAGATCACCAATTACCACTATAGTAAAAGTAGCCTGCGAGCTGCTCTTGGGTTCCTCCATTCGCAGAATGCCTCACTGTACATCAGGCACACACAGACACGTGGTGGCTTAAATGGGGCCAGCTGCTTTGTCGTTTTTTGATTATAAAGACAAGCACTGTCATGTATGAAAACCTAAAATTCGGGTGGTTGCAAAAAGTGATCCAAGTGACCTTTCAATTCACAGCTGGGAGTTTAGAGAAACACAATATTAAAATTTGCTTTGTTAGTAGAATTTCATTTCCTTCCTCTGATTTTTTTCTTTTTAAATTTTATATTTTTCAGTTTGCAAATTTAAAGTATAATCCGGACTGTTCAGTATACATAAATGTGTGTGTGATTTTTGCATTTTTATTGGCCATTACTATAAGAAGTTCCTTTGTTAATAGAAATCAGCGAAACCCACCCTGAACTGTGTGCTAATCTGTCAGGGGCTGTGCTGTGACTGTTCACCTTTCCAGGCTGATGTTTGGGTCTGTTACCAAGCATACATTGTACGAAGAGTCCACTCATACATGCTGCCTCAGCTGTATCTGGTGCACCTCCTCCTGTTTATTTAGCTTTATGTCATGTCGTGTCGTGTCCGAGGCTGATAGATTGGTGACTGGCCCGCAAGCCCACCAGTGCAGCCTGAAGTACAAACGTCTCTGTCAGCAGTCTTTCCAAGGCACAGCCGCTGGCTTTCAGGCTGCCTCCACCCTCCCGTGCCCACCGATCGCCCGCTTATGGCCCTTGTCACCCTTCTTTGCCAGGCATTGCAAAACTGGAAGAAGGAGACGAGCTCCAACTTGCTATACCAAGAGAAAATGCGCAGATCTCTCGTGACGGCGACGGCACCTTTTTTGGTGCCCTGAAGCTGCTGTGAGCTGTGCCCCATGTTTGGGGCCCCTCTGCTCCCCTTCTCTGTACCTCTGAAAGGAAAACCCTTAACTGGAAATGCCGAAGGGGAAGAAAGTAGTCACCTAGACTTTTCTCGAGCTATTTGTTTTGGTTTGCAGAATCTGGTCCCAACAGGAAATTTAACAGACAACCACAGCCAAAGTGTCATGTGAGTTACAAGAATCAGAGCCCACATTCAGAAAGGCAGAATTGGAAAGCCCTTGCTCGAGGACACGGTGCCAAGTGGTGTGACTGCACTTCTTGTCTCGGGGAAAGCGTGCAGATCAGAGGGCGGTGATGGCTTTTCCAAAATTGGTATTCCTCAATTTACCATGAAATGTGTGCCCATGCTTGCAGGACATTAAGACACTCATGAGGGGTCTCAGGATTCATGCTCCTTTTGCATGCTAAGTGTGTGCCTTTCCTTTTCGGATGGAAAAAATATTAAAACGTAAAAAAACTTCATTAGGTACATGAAAATAACAATTACAAATGTATCTATTGGTTAGAAACTAATTTTAAAAGTCTAAAATTAAATGTTATACAAGAGGACTGAAAATAAGATACATATGCTATTTAAGTCTTTGGATTAGTCTGAGTTGGCACTTTTAACTTTCATGTTATCTGTTACGATGCAGTTCTCACAGTAAGGAAAGAATTCCCTCGTTTGTATATGCAGTTGCCTAGATTCAGTTGCTTCAGGAATTCTGAGTGTAGGGTATTTCCAATGTATGTGTATGAATCAATAATTAAAAATAACTAAAATTGCACTTGTATAAAATAAAATGTGCACTGAAGCTAGTGGGTACGTTTATGATAAAGTGATGTAATTTCTTTCCAGTTCCAGTTGTTCTGTTTCGGACGAGTGCTATTGTGGCTTTGGTACCCTAGGCAACGCAAACAGCCTAGCTATGTGCTTTCCAGAAGCCAGCGTTTTACTGAAGTGTGGAAAGTGCCCAGACTCCTGCTAAAGATCGTAATGTCTCAGACCACTTCACCTTCATTTGCATTTTATAAACAATCCTACTTGGGCATGTTGTAATACTTATCTTTTATAACACGCTTTCCTTATGTTTTGTCTTATTTCTGTGTCGTTAAGCTTTAATTTCATTAAGCAGTTTGCTTCATTGGAGTGAGCAGTAGATGAAACAGCAGACCGAGGTTGATACCACGCTGCCTTTACATTAAATCCATTTTAGAAAGGCCTCTTTCCATAAGAAAGGGGCACCCAAGCTTATGTCTACAATGAAACTCTAAGCAGTTGTTTAGTTCCTGTAATTTTCGCCTTTGGGATCAACTAACATGCATCTTGTTCATAACTGAAAAAGAGGAAGTGGAGAAGGGCTTGGATGCTGGAGGAGTGGCTGCTAACTTTCCTAGTGCTGCTGCTAACTTCGATTGCCAAGTGGGAAGGCGCAGCGCCTGCTGCTCGCTGTCTGCGGGGCCTCCCGGCCACCATCTTTTGGTTTCTCTCTGCGACTGTCACCCTAAAAATAAGGTGAGAAACTGTGAGATGCTGGAACGTGGGGGTGCTAGCGTACCACAATAAAGTATTTGAAGCCTGAGTGTTCCTAAATTTGGGAAGAATCTGTGCATATCTTCATTTCTATATTATTATTATTATTTCTTAAAGTGTAAATTTAAAAAGTACTGGATCATAATAGGCTTAGCCGGCACACTCTTGTTGTCTACAACTCCTGCCGGTATTCTTTATCAGCAACTTAACACACTTCATCAGCAGAGGTAGAGTTTAGCTGTGTGACATACTGTTAGCTGCCGTGTTACTCTTGGTTTAAATTTGGGTTAAAATGTGATTATTTTAGCCATCTGATTATTTTCCTTATATGTGAAATTGTGAGGAAGCTAGTCCATAATTAAGTAAAAGTGAATTTCAATATCAGAAAGGAGAATTTGGATTAGGTAACCAGTGGGAATCTCCCTAGACTTAGTTTCTGTCAGACTTGGTTCCTCTCCACTTTTTCTCAGTTTATTTAAAGAAAAGGAAGAAGTCAGTTTGGGCTTTGCTCTAATGAAACATTTTAAGGTGAACTGCATAAACATTTAAGGTAAACCAGCCCAGATACTCGGTGACCCTAAATGCTGCATCGTAATTGTGACTGCAGATAAGCTTTGCAGGCGACCAAGGCGCGGCCTCCCTGTGGGGCGGGGGGGACTCAGGGGGTCACCAGGACATCCGTGTAAAAGAACCCTTAGAGGCGCCTGGAGGAGGGGCTTCGAGTCACAGTGGAGAGAAGGCCTTTCCGGGCGCTGCGCTGGGACGCAGCGGGGTCGCCTACAGAGGCCCGCGGAGCCTGTGGCAATCTCCCTCGGGAAGCTTCACCCGGAGGGGCAGAAGGGCCCGGAACAGGCTCCGGGAAGAACCCTTGAAAGCAAAGGGAGGGAAGCAAAGACCTGCGTGTGTTTTGGGCGCGGGTCAGGGCTGCCTGCAGACCCGGCCCGGGGGAGGGGGGGGTGAGCGGGTGTGTACCCGGGTCGCGCGTTTCTGCGTCTTGCGTGATTCAGGCTCTGCTGAGTTGGATCCCAGTGTCTTGCCACCTTCACCTTTTTAACGTCCTCTGAGCAGAGACTGTATTTTCCCTTCCCGCTGGTCCCGCTCCTGATGCTGTGGCCCTCTTGGAAGACATCAGTGGGGAAGGGAGGGGATGACTAGGACATCTCGTCCCCGGCTGAAGTTCTCAAATTCAGATCCGAGTTTTACCTCAGCTGGTTTTACACTTGGGGCCATTGGGACGTCGGTGCCATTACCTTCCGGCCTTGCGGCAAGCTGAGCTTGCGGACCCACTTGGACTAGCTCCCTGCGTTACGCTGGCTAAACGGCTTGGCTTCAAAGACCAGCGTGGGGCGAGGGGCGGCTGGGACTGCAGTTCTAAGAAAGGGAAGTGACGTGTAGTGTCTGGTTTTATTTTAGCAAGAAATTCAGATATTACAGTGGCAGGAAACTAAGGATATTTGGTTTTGTTACGATGTTTTGAGTATATCAGAGAAAGAAATGGAGAGAGAGGGGGAGAGAGAGAGAGAGAGAGAGAGAGAGAGAGAGAGAGAGAGAGAGAGAGAAGAAAGGAAGAAAAGGCAGAGTAAAAGAAGGGAGAAACAAAGTAAGGAAAGATGAGAGAGGGAAGGGGGAGGAAGAAGGAAAGGGGGAAGCGCTGCTGGAGCCTGCCCGGCCCTCCCAGGCCGCAGCTGCTTCGCGCTCTCTCCCCCCAGCAGTGCCAAGGCAGCAGCAGGGGCATCCCTGCCGCATCCACCTGGAGGCCAGGCACCTCCCGATGGCGCGCAGGGGCCAGCGTGGGAGCGGAAGGTGCTCAGGGCTTCATGGACAGGAGAGAAAGAACCCCGGATCTGAGAATCGGGTGGGGGAGCGGCAGCGGGAGAGCAGAGGAAGGGCGCGAGGACGAGGCAGGACACGTCCCAGAAGGCGTGTTGGCCGGGCAGGGAGGGTCTGCAGGGTGCCCCTGGGAGGTGGGGAGCCAGGAGGCTGGACGGGCCCGCCTTACCCAACGCCTCCCTCCAGGTGAGCCGAGACCGAGGAGGGATGTGCAGAGTCTGGATCCCCCTAGATCAGTGCGCGCTGTCAGTGTGTGGCTGTGTGGCCCTGGGTGGGGTCCCCTTGGGAAGAGGCCGCCTCCCTGCACTAGCATTTCCAATAAGACAGTTGCACAACACACTCAAGCCTACTCCTGGGATGAGGACAAACTGTGTTTTTCTCTCAAGTGCAACCCTCAGATCGACAGAACTTGCAGACCAGAGACCAAGTGTCACAGTGAACTCCAACAGGACGCCTCAGCGCTGCATCCCCCTCACGGGGATCCCCCAGGGTGGCCAGGGAAGACTTTGGCCCAGATCCAGCAGTTTTTTTTTTTTGTTTGTTTGTTTTGTTTTTTCTTTTCAGAACTGGGGATTGAACTCAGGTCCTTGTGCTTGCCAGTCAAGTGCTTATTCTCGTGAGCCATCTCCTGGCCCCCAGATCCAGCAGTCTTGAGTCTAGGGGGCAAACCCACATCTCCCAGTGGAGAAGGGAATGCCGGCTTGCAGTTCCAGAGCCCGCTGCCCATCCCCGCTGTCCTTGGGCTCCTGCTCTGGCCGAGCTGCGTGCGGGCCTGAGTTAGAATCGGCATCTGCAGTGCGTGGGGAATACATTCCCTGTGTCGCGGTGGCATGTGTGATGGACAAGTCTCCATTATTTTCTCTTCTCCTTTCCCTCCCCGCACCTCCCTTCTCCTTCCCTCTGTCCTAGGGTCTCCTCCCCCATTTTCAAAAGATCATCTCCCTGTTCACTATTATTCCTTTCATTTTGCTCTTTGTGATTTTGAATTTGTCAAGTAAGAGAAACCTTGTGATACTTAAGCTTGTGTGTCTGATTGATTTTACTTAGTATTATGGTCTCGGTGTGCATTTATTTTTCCTACAGATAACTCAGATTTAACCTCCTCTGTAGCAGGCAGGACTCTACTGTCTGCAAAGACCACACTTCCTTCTGGTGACAGGCATGTGAGCTGCCTGCGAGATTCAGCTACTGCAAGCTGTGCGGCCTGACACACGGGTGCGCATGGACCGCTGCGCTACAATGTCTTTGGCTCTTGCAGGAAGACACCTGGAAAGGGAATCGCTGAGTCTAATGGAATGTGTGTGTGTGTGCGTGTGTGTGCGTGCGCACATGCATGTGCCCGCAGTACCACTTAGAACATTGTTATTCACATGTGAGACAGGAGGAGTTTTATTGAGGAGCCGCAGAGGTTTGCAGCACGCCTCACTCTTGGGGCGGCCCGTGAGCGGATCCAGCGGCCCCTGCTGAGAAGGGGTAGCGCCTGGACAACAGGACGCAGTGCCCGGAGGGCAAAGGCAGTGGCAGGTGCACGACACCCACGGGGGAGCGAACCCAAGGCCCCACACACCCTGAGCTGGTCTACTGCTGAGCTGCGTCCCCAGCCCAGGAGGCAGGGAAATTGGACTCAGCCGTGCGATTTGTTTGAGGCTGTACAGCTGGTAAGTGTTTTGGTTCCGAGCCTGTGGGCCAGGGTCACCCGTTCTGCTACATTTTTCCTTCAGTGTCTAGCTTTGTGCTATCAGGAAGTGATGACAGCTTTCTTTCACTTATCAGCTGTTCTGGGAACGGAAAACAAGGCTCTGGGTTTAGTGCCAGTCCTTGTCTTAACACTCCGGAAGAGCATTATCAGACTGGGACACAGCAGAGAGAATTACCCAGCAGTGAGAAATGCAGAAATGGTCAAAGGAGTAGAATGCAAAGGCTTCGGAATTTGTGTACAAAAGAAAGACATCCCACAAAGGAGTCACAGGAAAAGAAGGAAGGAGGAAGAGAAGAAAGGAGGGAAAAACGGAAGGATGGGAGCAAGGAAGGTAGGGACACAGTGATTTCCAATGTTTAAAGAGCTAAGCATCACTAAGGGTAACTTAAATCAATGGATAATGAAAATAACATAGATTTTATAATTCATAAATAATAATTTATGAATAAAAATATGTCTTAGTATATGTGCATTATAAAATTTGCCTATTTTAAGTAAAATTCAAGATTTTAATGCATTTATAGTGTTGTCTGAGAAGTTATAGAGTTTACTGCAAAATAGCAGGAGTTTGAAATTAGAATCCGGGAAAGAAAGGGACCTGGAGGAAGATGCAAGATGGAAAACAGACTTTTTAAAGAACATCCTTGAAGCATCTTTTGAGGGGATAGTCTTACACTTTTCACCTTTGAATAGGAATAGAGGGAAAGGGCCCTTCCCATCTCTTCCTCACCATCTGGACAAATAGAGCTTGCCAAACTCCTGGGAGGTGACTTTTAATTCGGATTTGCTTTCTGTACTTGTGAAACTATCTTCGCCGCACAGTCTAAGTTCATTTGGAAATAAACTCACGAAATATCCAGGTTGAATTTCTCTCCTTAGCGTTGTACAGCATGGCGCCACAAGAGGGCAGCACTTGAACAAGTACAGCGCGACGTGGGTTATTCTCGAATAGTAACGGAATGAAGAAAGAACAGTTCGCATTATAAAGCTATGAACCAAGAGAACCCTAAAAGAACTACACAGACACTCTCCGTGCTTGCTCTGCCCGGGTTCCAGACCTAATGAAGATCTGAGATATTTAGTGGAAACCTCAGTTCTAGATCTGTGTGGGCCTGAGAATCAAGCCATCCTCATCCACAGGACAGGAGAGCAAGGTGACAGACAGTGGCCTGGTGCAGCGCAGGG